ATAAAAAAAAAAAAAATAAATGTGAGGCATAATGACAAAATGAGTAACTTCTCGCATTCCAAGAATGGAGATATCGGCTGAAAATCGACACTGGGGTCAGATTTACAAATTTTCAATTGACCCCATTTTCTTCAGGTCTATCGTTTCTTTTATTATTCCATACTTACAAATTGTTCAAACTCCACCTATCAAGTTGATGTATCAATTTTCATAAGGCTGAAATCCGAGAAGTAACTCATTTTGTGCGCACACCTCACAAATAAATAAAATAAAATCAAAAACATTTTTAAGCAAAAAAAAAAAGACCCAGAAAAAAAAAAGAAAAACCCTACACATCCCCTAAACAAAAAAACCCAAAGAAAAAAAAAAAAAATATACCCTTGATCTATTTCTGTTGCAAATGTAAAGAAAAATGTTACTACTAAAACTAGATTTAAAACTCTACCGTAACTGTTCTTTCAGGCGTCGATGATCCTGTTGATAGTGGTCCCTCAGCTGTCCCTCCGCACCCGCGACATCGTCATCCTGTCCGTGGGAGGAACCATCACGTTTGCCTGGTTCTTCCTCGGATTCTTCGCCGTAAGTAGTTGTTTTTTTTTCTTTTATTAATACTTCTTTTGGATGTATCGGCGATGTATCAGTAACTTAGGAGGAACACAGTTGGATGTATTGCTGATATATCGGTAACTTTGGAGGAACACAGTTGGATGTATTGCTGATATTTCGGTAACTTAGGGGGGACACAGTTGGATGTATCACCGATATATCGGTAACTTAGGAGGAGCACAGTTGGATGTATCACTGATGTATCGGTAACTTAGGAGGAACACAGTTGGATGTATCACCGATATATGTGAGGCAGCGTGGTGGGATCAGGCGCTCGTCAATTTTTGGGCATGTAGAGTTATTGGTATCATCTTAAAGCTTGTTCACTTATCTTTATTTGGATGAAAAAAATATCCATTTATCTTGAATACAAGTCGAGATATTTGCAAATGAAGAAGGTGGGGGTCACCTGTTTTCAGAGGTAAAATTAATGAGAAAATGGCCGCCAAAGATTAGTTATTTCCTTAGATTAAGAGTCCGTGGTAACTGGAAATTTCTATTTTTTTGTGCCTTTAATCAATGTTTTTCAGAAAAATCCATAACAGAAATTAGTTCTTTAATGGGCATGAAAGGTGTTGAGTCAAAAAGCAAAAATTTGATAAAAATTCAGAAACCTGTGGAAAAATGCAAGTTTCTTCACTTTGATTATTTTGACGAGAGCCTGATTCCACCGCGCTGACTCACATATGGTCGTTTATATTTATATGGACAAGTGGGCTCTATCCTGAAAATTGCTGTTTTTGAGAAATCGAAGGTAAAGTTTTTGCCCCTTGTTCAGTTTCATTAAAAGACAAGGAGAGTTTTTTCGATAACCAAACAAATATACACACCAATGAAACCAAACTTCTTCTTCTATAGGTAGGGGAATGCCCACTTTTTGTGTAGGTCAAGATTTCTGGAAACCCCCGAAATGTGGGTTAGCCCACTTGTCCTTAAAAGCGACCATCAGTAGCTTTGGAAGAACACAGTTGGATGTATCACCGATTTATCGGTAACTTAGGAGGAACACAGTTGGATGTATCACTGATGTATCGGTAACTTAGGAGGAACACAGTTGGATGTATCAGCGATGCATCGGTAACTTTGGAGGAACACAATTGGATGTATCACCGATGTATCGGTAACTTAGGAGGAACACAGTTGGATGTATCACCGATGTATCGGTAACTTAGGAGGAACTCAGTTGGATGTATCATCGATATATTGGCAATTGGAACAGGATCAAAAATTTGTTTCTGTATTTCCATTCTGTTGCTTTTGTCATATCAGCGAACATCAACATTCAATTTTCTGTCCAGAGATATATAACTGCCTCCACATTATTTACCACACTGTCTGGAAAAGCTTTTTTATTTCCATCAAAATGATTTGCGGGGTCGCAAATTTATTATGTCCAAACGGTTTCAACTGCCAAAAACAGTTAGGTCTTGAACGAAGTAAATGTATGTAGGTTTTTTTTAAAACGCCCTATTGACATTCTTTAGATCATTTAGGAGGTGGGCTTGGCCCTGCCTATCAGGACCAACCAACATTAAGAGGGATACAACTTTCCACTGGACAGACCAAGATACTCTATAAAAATTCTCCCCACTTGGGAATTGAACTCGGGTCCACTGCGTGTGATGGTGAAGTATTTAACCACTGCACCAGAGATGCTAGTGCTGTATGTATTGTTGCACATTGAGTTGAGTGTGATTTTTAAGTGTTATGCAATTTTTGTTGAGTGTAGTTTAAGTATTGTCACATGATATTGTTCCTTTTGGACAAGTGGGTCATGAATTTTTTGACCAGATCTCCTTGAATTTTAAAAATTTCTCCTTGAAACCTCCTTGAAACCTCCTTGAATTTGAGGGGAAGTTCATGGCAGGAACCCTGATTGTGCACCTTTTTCAGAGTGATCTAAGAGCCCGATACTTTTCACCGAGCACCCTTTAGTTATTGTGTACTTTTCTCTACCAATCATTTAAGCGTTGTTAAGTTTTTCTATGAGTATCTTTTCAAGCGCTGTGTGCATTTCTCTGAATGATTTTTGAAATGTGTTCCTTTTTTTATTTTTCAGTTTCCCAAAGAATCAAAAATTTCTGCAATTTTGTTCCTTCTCTTCAGTCCAGCTGAAATTGGCTACGTTTGCTACAAGATGTATGACGTAAGTTGGATCATTAAAACAGGGTTTTTGTTTTTTTATTTTGTGAGCAGTTTTGTTAGGAGGCAAGTTCAAATGTGAGGCAGCGTGGTGGAATCAGGCTCTCGTCAAAATAATCAAACTGAAGAAACTTGCATTTTTCCGCAGGTTTGTGAATTTTTATAAAATTTTTGTTTTTTGGCTCAACACCTTTCATGCCAATTAAAGAACTCATTTCTGTGTGAATTTTTCTGAAAAACGTTGATTAAAGGCACAAAAAATAAAAATGTTAGGTTACCACGGACTCTTAAAGCTAAGGAAATAACTAATCTTTGGCAGCCATTTTCTCATTAATTTTACCTCTGAAAACAGGTGACCCCCACCCCCTACATTCGCAAATATCTCGACTTGTATTCAAGATAAATGGATATTTTTTTCATCCAAATAAAGACAAGTGAACAAGCTTTAAGATGATACCAATAACTCCATATGCCCAAATATTGACGAGAGCCTGATTCCACCACGCTGCCTCACAAATGTGACTCTCTGGTTGCTGCATGGATGACTTTTCAATGCATTTGTTGTAGTGTAGTTTTTTTAGTCATCAGTCATGTCACAATGCGGTGGAATCAGGTGCTCGTCAATTTTTGGACATATGGAGTTATTGGTATCATTTTATAGCTTGTTCATTTGTCTCGCTTTTGATGGAAAAGGTACCCACATAATCTTGAACAGAAGTTAAAATATCTGTAATCGAAGGAGGTGGGGGTCGATTGATGTCAGAGGTAAAAATAATGAGAAAATGGCCGCCTAAGTAGGGTAACTTCCAAAGCTTGAGTGTCTCATCATCATCATCATCCGGTGCCTTGCCGACTGGCGTGGGTGATCATGGACCTCCACTTCACTCTGTCTGTCGTTCTTGCTGCTCCTAGCCAAGTTGTCTTCTTGTCCAGTATCTTTTCCCTCTGTCTGCCTCTGTCTCTCTTTCCATCAAACTTGCCTGTTGTTACAATATTCTCCAATGCTTCTTTCCGCATTGTGTGTCTGAAGTTTGAGGGTCTATTGAATGTAAAAAGGTATGAGTGAAGTGTTTGGAGGGGGATTACTTGGTCACCACCTTGAGAGAGAGAGGGAGAGGTAGAGAGAGAGGTAGAGAGAGAGAGAGAGAGAGAGAGAGAGAGAGAAAGTTGGCAGCAATGTAATTGTGTTGCTAGTGCCATAAACCTCTTCCTATAACTCTTCCTAAAACTGTTCTGGCCTTACCGAACTTTGTAATTGTGTCACAATGCGATGGAATCAGGAGGCACTCTGCAATTTTTTGGGCATTTCGAATTATTGGTATCATCTTAAAGCTTGTTCATTTTTCTTCCTTTCAATTAAAAACAAATACCATTTATCTTGAATAGAAGTCGAGATATTCGCAATTGAAGCAAGTGGGGGGTTGGCCTGTTTTAAAGGTAAAATTAGTGAGAAAATGACCACCAAAGTTTGGTGAATTCCATGGCTTTAGAATCTTTGGGAGCTGAGCATCTACATTTCTTGAACCTTTAAGTAACGTTTTTCCGTAAAATCCATACAGAAATGGGTTTTTAAATGAACACAAAAACTGTGTTAAGCCAAGAAACAAAAATTGGTTAAAAATTGCTAAACCGCTGGAAAATACCATTTTCTTCAATTTCACTATTATTTTGACGAGCGCCTGATTTCTCCGCGCCGCCTCATACGCGGTGGCCTAGTGGTTAGGCTCTCGGACTCGCAACCGTAAGGTCGTGGGTTCGAATCCCGTCAGGGGCCCGACGTTGTGTCCTTGGGAAAG